TTATCGAGAAATTCAACGGAAGACCTACTCGTTGCTCGCAACGAGATCTCATCTAGTTTTTCCTATTATTCCTAACGACTTTTCAACTTTATACACAACCATTCCCACGATAAATTAAAATCCAGGCTTTTAGATATCATTGATAGCTGTTTTTATCAATAAAAATGGAACTTGTTAATTTACTCTCCTGGTCATTGGTCATTTGCAAACTTATTTTGTAATTAAAAACAAATTCTGATTTCACAATCAAGTCCTCTGAAGTTGACGTTAAAAAGATGCTTTAGTTTCTGATTGACAATATGATGTGGTTTCGTAAGACCAGGTATTCCAACATTGGAATTGTCATGGGTACACATTGCGCTCCGTTATTAGCAGACCTAATTTTATATTCATATGAAGCAGAATTTGTGAAAAATCTAATGCGTGGAAAGAAGAAAACACTTGCTGTGGCCTTCAACTCGACATTTAGGTATATCGACGACGTTTTGTCAATTAGCAATGGATATTTCCATTCCTATGTCGATACGATATATCCTGGTGAGCTTGAGATAAAAAAAATACCACATATTCTGACACCTCTGTTTCACACTTTGAAATTTTACTTGAAAAAAAACCCAACATTAATGATAGTCTAACAACCAAGCCATATGATATACGTGATGACTAACTTTGCTATCGTCATCTTCCTTTACTTATGCAGCAATATACCTTTATCACCCTTATACGGAGTGTATATATCTCAGTTGACTCGATACGCAAGAACATGGTCTATGTATGAACAATTTCTAAAACGAGATAAATTATTAACAAGCAAGTTGATGAAACAAGAATATTAGCAGTCTCGTTTAAAGTCATCATTTCGTAAATTTTATGTTGTTTGATACAATGACCTTGTTAGCCAATGCAATTTAACACTGAGACAAATATACTGTACAGTCAGAAGGTCTGTATTATTTATTGGCAGGGGATGCTGACTCCTCCATGGAAACTGATCCCACCTCTGAATTTTCGGAGGTCCGTGTTTGCTCTGCTCCTGTTTTGTATTGTTTTATGGACTTTGATATCGAAGACTGTTCGTTATTTCAATATCCTTCTGATGATCAAAAGACAAAAAAGTGAACTTTTTATTAAAATGACCATTATAGAGAGAAAATACTTTTACCTCCAGTTGTATCTCGTTTGTGCACTGACGATATGCCTGGCACTGCTTGTAAAGAGTCTTACAAACGCTTTAGAGATAAGCATTTTGCTGAGGGAAAGTATTCAATACACTGAGAGGGACACCCTTATCATAAACAATGAACACGAATGACCAATAGAAAAACAATGGGCGGTTTTTTTTTTCAATAAAAGAACAACAGACGTCAAGGATTATGTTAAATAATAATTCGTAAACAACAGGTGCCGATATGACGAGAAACTTGTAGGTTATTTATACTTTCAGGCTAATCAGCCGAGTCTGTATTGAAAATTGATTTATCTTGAAACTTGTAAAATTAATATTTTTAAAAATCAGTATAAATTATGCTTTAATTCCTGACCAGTTTTAAAGGCTGATTAGATATGCTTGTTATTAGTGTGTGGAGGACCCTTAAGATGTTTCTGATATATTGAAATCATGGATGCTACAACTGAGTATGAAATAACTGAACCTGTAAGTTTAGGATTAAAACGAAGAGGTAAGTGTAACAAGAGGCCCAAGGGCCATATCGCTCACCTGAGCACATCTACTAGGAAAAAGCACATATCAGATCAGAAATGAAAGTTTACTGGGGGGGGGGGGGGGGGGGGGTTGAATTTTAACCCTCCTTGGTGTCATGATTTGAACAATGTACAATCTACACTACCTGAGGATGATTCCATATAAATAGAAAAATATCACTAATCATGGCTTTGAAGTACTTGAAAGAAGATTTTAAAAAGTTTCCCCATATATCCTTATGTTATAACTATGGTCAGCCATTTTTGGCCCAAAACTAGAGGGGTATATTTGAACAAACTTGAATCTTCACTAACTGAGGATGAATCCACCCAAAACCAATTTAGTTTCATCTTTCCTGGCCCAGTGGTTCTTAAGAAGAAGAATTTTAAAGATTTTTAGCTCACCTGAGCCGAAGGCTCAAGTGAGCTTTTCTGATCACATTTTGTCCGTCGTCCGTCCGTCCGTCCGTCCGTCTGTAAACTTTTCACATTTTCGACTTCTTCTCAAGAACCACTGGGCCAATTTTGACCAAACTTGGTACAAAGCATCCTTGGGTAAAGGGGAATTTAAATTGTTAAAATGAAGGGATATATCCCCTCGCAAGGGGAGATAATCAAGAAAAGACAAAATTAGGGTGGGGTCATTAAAAAATCTTCTTCTCAAGAACCACTGGGCCAGTAAAGCTGAAACTTATGTGGAAGCATCCTGGTATAGTGTAGATTCTAAATTGTTCAAATCATGACCCCCGGGGGAAGGGCGGGGCCACAATGGGGTATCAAAGTTTTATATAGAAATATATAGGAAAAATCTTTGAAAATCTTCTTCTCAAGAACCACTGGGCCAGAAAAGCTGAAACTTATGTGGAAGCATCCTGGTATAATGTAAATTCTAAATTGTTCAAATCATGACCCCCGGGGGAAGGGCGGGGCCACAATGGGGAATCAAAGTTTTATATAGAAATATATAGGAAAAATCTTTGAACATCTTCTTCTCAAGAACCACTGGGCCAGAAAAGCTGAAACTTATATGGAAGCATCCTGGTATAGTGTAAATTGTAAATTGTTCAAATCATGACCCCGGGGGAAAGGCGGGGCCACAATAGGGTATCAAAGTTTTATATAGAAAGATATAGGAAAAATCTTTGAAAATCTTCTTCTCAAGAACCACTGGGCCAGAAAAGCTAAAACTTATGTGGAAGCATTCTGGGGTAGTGTAAATTCTATATTGTAGGAATCATGACCCCGGGGGAAGGGGGGGCCATTATAGGGAATCAAAGTTTTACATAGAAATATATAGGAAAAATCTTTGAAAATCTTCTTCTCAAGAACCACTGGGCCAATTTTGACCAAACTTGGTACAAAGCATCCTTGGGTAAAGGGGAATTTAAATTGTTAAAATGAAGGGATATATCCCCTCGTAAGGGGAGATAATCAAGAAAAGACAAAAATAGGTGGGGTCATTAAAAAATCTTCTTCTCAAGAACCACTGGGCCAGTAAAGCTGAAACTTATGTGGAAGCATCCTGGTATAGTGTAGATTCTAAATTGTTGAAATCATGACCCCCGGGGGAAGGGCGGGGCCACAATGGGGTATCAAAGTTTTATATAGAAAGATATAGGGAAAATCTTTGAAAATCTTCTTCTCAAGAACCACTGGGCCAGAAAAGCTGAAACTTATGTGGAAGCATCCTGGTATAATGTAAATTCTAAATTGTTCAAATCATGACCCCCGGGGGAAGGGCGGGGCCACAATAGGGAATCAAAGTTTTATATAGAAATATATAGGAAAAATCTTTGAAAATCTTCTTCTCAAGAACCACTGGGCCAGAAAAGCTGAAACTTATATGGAAGCATCCTGGTATAGTGTAGATTCTAAATTGTTCAAATCATGACCCCGGGGGAAGGGCGGGGCCACAATAGGGTATCAAAGTTTTATATAGAAAGATATAGGAAAAATCTTTGAAAATCTTCTTCTCAAGAACCACTGGGCCAGAAAAGCTAAAACTTATGTGGAAGCATTCTGGGGTAGTGTAAATTCTATATTGTAGGAATCATGACCCCGGGGGGAAGGGCGGGGCCATTATAGGGAATCAAAGTTTTACATAGAAATATATAAGAAAAATCTTTGAAAATCTTCTTCTCAGGAACCACTGGGCCAAAAAAGCTGAAACATATGTGTCCATGGAAGGATCATGGCGTAGTGTAGATTTCAAAATGTCTAAATTATGATCAGTGGGTTAGGTTGGGGATGCATTATGTATAACAAGGGTGAAATCTGGTAAAGAACAGAATGGTCAAAGCTTCTCAGGTGAGCGATGTGGCCCATGGGCCTCTTGTTCCTATATATTCCTATGTAAAACTTTGGTCGGCCATTTTGGCCCCACCCTAGCTCCGGGGGTCATGATTTGAACAAATTTGAACCTACACTACCTGAGGATGATTCCACATGATTTTCATCTTTCCTGGCCCAGTGGTTCTTGAGAAGAAGATTTTTAAAGATTTTTTCTATATATTCCTATGTAAAACTTTGGTCGGCCATTTTGGCCCCACCCTAGCCCCGGGGGTCATGATTTGAACAAAATTGAATCTACACTACCTGAGGATGATTCCACATGAGTTTCATCTTTCCTGGCCCAGTGGTTCTTAAGAAGAAGATTTTAAAAAGTTTTTTCCTATATATTCCTATGTAAAACTTTGGTCGGCCATTTTGGCCCCACCCTAGCCCCCGGAAGATTTGAACAAACTTGAATCTACAATACCTGAGGATGATTCTACATGAGTTTTATCTTTCCTATTCCAGTGGTTCTTAAGAAGAAGATTTTAAAAGATTTTTCCGATATATTCCTATGTAAAACTTTGGTCGGCCATTTTGGCCCCACCCTAGCCCCGGGGGTCATGATTTGAACAAACTTGAATCTACACTACCTGAGGATGATTCCACATGAGCTTTATCTTTCCTGGCCCAGTGGTTCTTGAGAAGAAGATTTTTAAAGATTTTTCCTATACATTCCTATGTAAAACTTTGGTCGGCCATTTTGGCCCCACCCTAGCCCCGGGGGTCATGATTTGAACAAACTTGAATCTACACTACCTGAGGATGATTCCACATGAGTTTCATCTTTCCTGGCCCAGTGGTTCTTAAGAAGAAGATTTTTTAAAAATGCTAATAATTTTTCACTAATTCATAATTATCTCCCCATGGAAGAGGGCGTGGCCCTTCATTTGAACAATCTTGAATTCCCTTCACCCAGGGATACTTTGTGCCAAATTTGGTTGAAATTGGCCCAGTGGTTCTAGAGAAGAAGATGAAAATGTGAAAAGTTTACGACAACGACAACGCCAACGACGACAACAACGACAACGACAACGCCAACGACAGACGACGGAAAAATTTTGATCAGAAAAGCTCACTTGAGCCTTCGGCTCAGGTGAGCTTAAAATTTTACATCTCTAGAAATAAAGGGCATTTTGTTAAGTTTTTTGGGGGGTGTTCCTCAGAACATGGTATATTTATTTAATTTTTATTTATTAAATAATTGTAGAAGAACTAGGAATATATTCAAACACTGTCCGTGAATGTCTTTTTTATATTTTATTTATTCTACGTGTTAATATATAACAAGTTTATCTTTTTAAAAAAATAGGTGAGCTAGCGCCGTAGCAACTTTTAAACACTGAAAGGAAGGTCCGTGATTAAATGATTTATTTTGCTAAATTTTTTAATTGTTTATCGATGCTGGGGTGTGATAAGTGTGTTTTATAGACACGTAGGTAAAGAAACGAGAAGGGGGGGGGAGATTTTGTGTTGCCCCATTGGAGTTACCAGAGAGTTCCAAATGTGAAGTAGCTTCGCCCGTTGGGTCATCTTTGTCAAGAACTATTAGGTTAAAAGCCATGCACAGAATTTAAAAAAAAATAAATAATGTATTTGTTCGAAATTTTTAGTGTAAATCCTTGTTTATGGATTTTTTTTGGCTTGTTCTACATTGCCATGATTGCGAGCATATAGAATATATATTTTTACTGTGGTGAGGTCTTGAAAATAGAGTTTATCTTTTGCTTAGACGTAAAAAAAACTCCCTTGTCTTTGTTTAGAATAATCAGATAATGACTCGGATTTTTTTGTCAGAAAAAAGGGAAAATTTGAAGTATTACAGTTATGTAGTTATCTTTAAAGTGTAAACTACACAATAAATAAACAAAGTTATTTCATGATACATACATATTTTTATCCTATGATCTATCTATAGTAGTTTTCACAGGTGGCAGAGGTATGATAAGTCCCTAGAGGAATTTGAAGCTTTTAGGAATAAAACATGTACAACTTACACAATGACCCATAATGATGGCACAGGGACAATCTCCAAATTTCATGTAAATCAAGCCCATTTTCACTATTTCGCCGCACCCGCAACTGCTTTTAGGCCCGTGCTAATGACCTAAAGCTACCACAAAAATTGCATAGCAACATTTGTACATACCACTGAACAGCAATAGATAATGGCTCAATCACCGCTTTTTCATGCTAAAATTCATCTTTTGAACCCATCCCGTTTTTCTGGTGAAAAACCGGAAGTGATTTTGTGATCTTAGTTTCGTACTTCTAGTCCATATCCCATATACAGTAGTAGTGACACTAAAGTGTCATATTTCAATAAAAATATTCAATTCCACCAATTCCCTCCAAATGCACCCATAAAATATTCTAGCTATAAAATTACCTATAATATGCATTCAAACCTAAGGTTTCTCTATTTTTTGACCGGTTCTTAATCCGAAACTATACTCTGCCACCTTTAAAGTTTTCCCAGAATGCATGACCATGAAGCCGAGCATGCGTATTCCAGGAATTTGGACTAACGTAGTTGCTAGCGCTCGAGAGCGCTAGCAAAAAGAATATCTTGCTATCTCTACACAATTGAATTTGAAACCTTTAATTATCAAGAAACATTTTATTTTTGAAAACAGGATCAGACAACGAAAAGAGAGAAACAAAGACAAAACTACGGAGAAGATCGGTCCAGAGACGTTATTTTTTAAGATCCAAGGCCCACAATGAAAAGTTGAACAAGGAATTGAAAGTAATAGATATTTCTAAGAATTTGATTACTCAATCATTGCAAAGCGAATCACTGCAAAGCGATTTCTCATACTCGCCAAGTACCCCTATCAAGGAAACTGCTACAGGAAGTAGTAATGAAAAGACCGACTCGCGCATTGGTAGAGGTTCAATAAAGTATTCGAAAGAAAAGAAACAGACGATAGAAGAAAGAGATTGGTCAACATTTCCAATCTTTGGGAGTACACAGGAAGTGGATAAAGATGAATCACATGGGATTTACACGGATGATGGGAACAGCAAAGAAAATTCTGATGCATTAGATGAGCAGAGATTTCAGGAAATTAAAAATGATGAAGAGAACAGCGACGACGAAAATTCTATTACATCAGAACCAGTTATAAATGATGAGAGAGGCACAAAGCAGGAGCTTAGTGAATATATTTACAGAATCCTTCGATTTGATGAAAATTGTCAAAATGGACTGCGCCCAAAGAACATATTTTCAGGAATAAGTCTACAGCAACACGTAGAAAGGGGGAGTAAAGGTCAGGAATCGAGGTATATTTCCTGCTGTAAAACACTTGATGGCATAGAGAGGCTTGGAGGCCTAACTAATGAGTATCAAAGAGTTAGAGAGGTGGTACAGATAAATATCACGAAGCTTAAAGACAGAGCCCGAATTATAGATCTGACCAAGGAGGAAATACGAGAACGTCATATTTCACGATATTCTACAGCATGGGGATTTGCCGAAAAATTTGAGGAAGTGAATATAGACCCAACGTCACATGTTCCTTCAGAATGTGTGGAGAAAATTGGTGTCGTTCACATGAGAAGGTTTAAGAAAACATAAAGTGTTGCTCCCCTACCGCCATGAGAAGACATGTTACATACTTTACAAGATGACTAAGCGAAAGGAAATGCATAATGTTTTTTTTTGGGGGGAGGGGGAGGGGACCGGCCCACGTGTAGGTTTAAATAAAATTTCAGATTTTCTGGAAAGCCATACCTGCAACTGAATAATCATCTCTTCACTAGTCTTACTGAAATACATGTAGCTCTCTAGCGCCACGAGTTTTGTCTTGTTTAAATAAGAAAATGGTATTAAAATCAGTTTCATAGAACATTGAATAGTAAAATACGCTGTCATCTTGGAAACACTCTAGGTCCTCTGTTGTGTTTATCAATATTTTCTTCCCATGATGACCTCGGAGTTTCGCAAAAATTCGACCGTCATAAGTCATTAGGTGTCATGGTTTTTTTATTTCTACTACTTCGCGAGTTTTTTCATATATTTCAGACCGTCTGGACGTCAAAGCTTTGTTGATGTAGATGGGTCCAGTTTGTTTTGTTTGGTTTCGGTTGTGAGATTTTAAGTTTCGTGTGTTTCCATAAACTCGGACTTTATCTTTGTATCTAATGAATTTTACATTAATGTCTCTGGTTTTTCAAGAGCTCATCTCAACGAAGTAGGGGAGCTTATGTAATACCCTCGGCATCGGCGTTCCAGGTTAAGGTTAAAGTTTTTGGAGTGGTATTCTTTTTAAGTACTTCTATGTCCTATATTGATTAGATATGCATGAAAGATCCTTGTAGTGTGTTTCATGGTACCAGTCAAAGTTTCAGAAGCTGCAATTCTAGCAAAGGAATGACCAGGTTAATGTTTTTGAAGCTGGTTAACTTTTTGGGGGGCAGTTTTTGGTCTAGGTCTCATTTCCAAGTAACTATAAGCCCTATGTTGACCAAACTTGCATGGATGATACATCTAAGGATGCACACTACCAGGCTTGCTTCGTATGCTGAATCTGACCTACATTTTCCGCATGAGTGAACAGGTTTTTGGTGCAGGACTCATTTCCAAGTAACTATAAGCCCTATTTGAACCACACTTGTATGGATAATACACATTATAAGGATCCACACTACCAGGCTTGCTTCGGATGCTGAATGTGACCAACATTTTCCACATGAGTGAACAGGTTTAAGGTTTTTGGTGCAGGTTTCATTTCCAAGTTAATATGAGCTCTCTAATGACTAAACTTGCATGAAAAGTACATCTTAGGATGCATACTACCAGACATGCTTCGGATGCTAAATCTGACCTACATTTTCCGCATGAGTGAATAGGTTAAAGTTGTAGCAGGATTCATGTCCAAGTAACTATGAGCTCTTTTATGACCAAAATTGCATGGATGATACATCTAAGGATGCATTCTACCAGGCTGGTGTCGGATGCTGATTCTGACCTACATTTTCTGGATTAGTGTAGAGGTTAAATTTTTATGCAGGTTCATTT